TATATATATATATATATATATATATATATATATATATATATATATATATATATATATATATATATATATATATATATATATATATATATATATACTAGCATTGCTCCGTGCGATGCACGGATTCAAGTGCCCGGTTAAAGTTTAGTGTATTATGAACTTGTCTCATGTATTTGTTTTACTTGTCTTTGTTTTGTATTGGTCAAAGTGTAGGGTGTTGATTTTGAGTAGTGAGTTTTGTTATGTATTGGTATTACTGTATCAATAATTTTAATTTATTACCATGTGTATTAAGTTAAATATCTGTAATGGTAGCATATAGTTTTATTTTTATGCATACTTTTTACTCTACAATTACATATATGGTGTTGAAGACGTCAAAAACCATCCTTAATGTGTTTGATGAAATAAACAAAATTATTTTGGCAAAATAAAAAGGAGTCTATGATAAGACTTTGTGTTTTAAACATTGAGCATAGGCTTTGCACCAAACATCATTGATGAAGCTAATTTGCATGGTATTCATAGTAATATCGGTTAATTTGAGCTCAAAGCATGAGATATTATAAATAATGGAAGTTTAGAACATATGTGCATATTAACTATTTTACTCGCACTCCTAAAAGTCTTTCATGTTTTGACTTTTTGGGTAAAACAGTGACACTCTTTGACCATAAATTTTGAGAAAAGTATACTTTACTATTATATAATAGTTCGGTACATATTAGGATATAATTTTGATACATCAAATTTTTATATCATGTGTTTATTTAGATAATGTTTAGTTTGTGTTTATTTAGATAATGTTTATGTGGATAATGTGTTTATTATCTTCTTCCAACTTTTGTACATATTTGAAAAATATTTAATAGAGGAAACACTTGTGTTAAATATTATATTTTATATTATATTTTATATTATATTTTAGTAGAGTTAAAATTATTATGCATCATAATAAAATGCGAGATTATTTTTGAAATTGAAAGACCAAATAAATGGATTACTTTGAATATTTTTTCTAATAATAATAATACTCTACTATATATTGTGGTGTATAGGCTATAAAGCATCTCTATAATTGTGAATTAAAGAATGAAGGGATTAAAGATAACTAATGGTGTTAGGGGCATTTGGGGTATAAATTGCATGGTACAAGTTTTAAAGCTAATGGTACATGTATTTTTGGATGGAAAAGGTGCATAATATTAAGGGGTACCAAACCCTCTTTCACATTTATATAATAGAGAAAGATATATATATATGTATGTATGTGTGTGTGTATATATATATATATATATATATATATATATATATATATATATATATATATATATATATATATATATATATATATATATATATATATATATATATATATATATATATATAT